TCTCCTGTTGAGTTCGTAGGTGTTCAGAATGGTTTGATCCCTATTCAGCTGAATTCCTGAGACCAGACGAAATCCAGGTCTCCTCCTCCTCCGCCATCTTGCTCCGCCCCGCCATAAATAAATAAAATCTTAAAAAAAAAAAAAGAAGAAGACACTCGAGAGGAAGGGAATAACTGTTGGGAACATATTAAGTAACTTCTTTCCTAGAAGCTGGTCTAACTTTGCAGTCATCTTTCAGACCTGAACTTGTCATGTGACATCTTTGTCTCTGGAGAACCGTTATTTGGGCTGTTGTCATAACTGTGCTTGCCCTCGAAATTGTTACTTTCTGGGCAAGTTCATTCTTCTGGGTGCAGTGCTGTTGCTTGAGCCTAAACTAATCCATTGTTGATGCTGAATGCAGTTTCGTTTGTTTACCCCGCACACTACGTATTGATTTCTATGAGGTATGTTCACAGTTTAGAAGGACTTTCTGATGACTTGATAATATGTATTCCGGGGGCGCCTGGGTGGCTCAGTTGGTTAAGCGACTCTCTTCGGCTCAGGTCATGGTCCTGGAGTTCCGGGATCGAGTCCCGCATCGGGCTCCCCCCTCAGCAGGGAGTCTGCTTCTCCTCTGACCCTCCTCCTTCTCATGCTCTCTGTCTCTCATTCTCTGTCTCTCAAATAAATAAAAAAAATCTTAAAAAAAAAAGATAATATGTATTTGAAGAAGCTCCTGGCTATTTTGAAAACTTTCAGCTTTTTCAGCTATAGCTTGCCTTTTTTTTTTTTTTAAGATTTAATTTATTTATTTGTCAGAGAGAGAGAGAGAGAGCACAAGCAGGGGGAGTGGCAGGCAGAGGGAGAGGGAGAAGCATGCTCCCCGCTGAGCAGGGAGCCCAACGCGGGACTCAATCCCAGGACCCTGGGATCATGACCCGAGCCAAAGGCAGACGCCCAACCAACTGAGCCACCCAGGGGTCCCCAGCTATCGCTTGCCTTTATCTGAGGGTCAATTTAAATCTCCTGGAGAGGGGAGGGTAATAATTATACTCGTTTTCACAGCGATGGAAGCTTCCCAAGTGATGAAGGCTCTAGCCAGGAGGTGTCCGAATCTCTCTTTGTTGGGGAGAGCAGGAATTACGGCTTCCAGGGTGGTCAGAACAAGTATGTGGGTACTGGAGGAATAGACCAGAAGCCCCGGACCCTGCCTCGGAACAGGTAAGCATTGCTTAGCAGCGGACTGTTACATTTCAACAGTAAATGAAAACCTAACCCTTTACAGAAGTTTCTGTAGTAATCCTGGGTGGATTTATATAATTATTATATAATAATCCTGGGTGACACTTTTCCCACCTTATCTAATTACCACTGTTATTATTTTTGGTATCATTGCTATTACTGTTGTGTAATCTTCTGGAATTCTGGAGCATGAACAATCAAACGCTTTATAGATTTCATTATCAATTGTTTAACAAAGGAAGCTATCTCGTTTTTCATTTCTTGCGTGAGGCCTTATATAAGCTGCTGCTTTTTTTGTTTTCTTCTTTCTTGAGCCACAGAAAGTTGGCCAGATTGTAAACTATGACATGAGGTCACTTTTGCCTCAATTTGTGAGGTTGGCTTGCAGAAATAGCCACTGGAGAAAGGAAATAACCTATTGAAACGAGTCCTAGGAAATAAGAGTGGGTAGAAGCCAAAGCTGACTCAAACCGTAACCATGGCCATATAATTACTAGTGTTTCAGTTGTACGGAGGAGATTATTGGCATATTTTCTGTCAAAATAATCGCAGAGTCATTAAAATAGTACTTACCCCCAGAAAGGTTGTTCAGAGCTTTTAGGGAACTATTAACTAAGTAATCCATACCTTAGTTCTGAGACAAAGTTTGGAATTGTCCTCATTTTCCTGGTGAGAAAAACAACTCATGTTCTAAAGGTCTCACGTTAGAGCTACTGCCAGAATTCATCAAGCAGTGATTCCCTTAAAGTTGGGCACCGTATGTGGCTGTTAAGGCCGGGACAGGTCGGGGGCAGGGGGCGGGGGGATGGACCTAACGGGCTGCTAGCTTTGAGGGCCAAACGGGCTTTACTGGCTTCTGGCAAAGAGTGAGTTTGGTTCCACTCCCCCTGTGCTTGTCGTTGGGAAATCTTGAATGCCATTATAAGCTACACTCTGTGTAGCACTCCTGTTAGCCAGACTATGTGGAAGCCACTGGGACAGAAACTTCATGGAGTTTTAATAGCTAACATTTATTAAATGCTGACAATGTGTCAGGCCCCATCCTAAATACTTCATTCTTCGCTTAATCCTTGCAAAGCCCAATGAGGGTAGGTACTGTCATTATCCTCCTTTACAAATGAGGAGCTTACTAAAAGTGGCTGAGGTGGGATTCAGATCCTGTGAGTTTGCCTTCAGCATGGTGCCTGTCACAGTGAAACTGTAGCTGTCTCTTCTGATGTGTAACGAAAAATGGCCTTGTTGGTTGGCATATGGTGGGAGTATGATGGTGGCCAACTCCATTCTTTTATTTTACGTTAGCCTGCAGTTTCTTTTTCTTTTCTCTCTTTTTTTAATTGAAGTATAGTTGACTTATAGTATTATGTTTCAGGTGTGCAAAATTCTGACTCGACAATCATATACATTATATGGCCTCCAGTTTTATTTCAAAATGCTTACTGCTTCTTTGCGAAGGAGGATTTTCCAAAACAAAGACTCCTCATTGGTCAATGGATCCATTCTTTATTTTACTGGGTCTTGACAACTTTTTCTATGAGAAGAGAACCATTTTGGGATCTATCCTTAGAAATATAGCAAGATGCATAGATTTTTTAGCCTGACTATTTCATTTCCTCGCTAGCATGTACGCTTTTACTGTAAAACACTGCCAAGTTGTAAACTAAAGTTGCTGTAGAAATCCTTGGCAGTGCCGTTAAAGAATTTAACAGGGTAGACACCTAAGGGATCCAGAATATAGGTTTTGTACCTTAATTATGATTAATGATATATGATTAGTAGGTTAAGGAACTTGTGTTTGAACAGAAAGGAGGAAAATGAATAAACTGAATTTCTCACTTCAGCCAGCCCCTTTGACATAGTAAGCCTTGAGGATTTACACTTTTGTACTTTTAAGTGTATCATTTCATCTTATTACTATCATTTAGTGGCTTGAAAGGAGGTTCTCTCTGTGAAAGCACAGATTTGTCTTTTGTTCTCCTGCCAGAGATTTTGGAACCAAAATGAAAGTGTATGCATTCCCAAATAAAAGGTCTGTCTTAACTGGGTTGATTCAAGGCAGTAAAAGTCACGTGTTCAGAGGGGCCTCCATTCTGTCCCAAACAGCATGTCTCTCACCCCCAATCTGTCGTAGTACCGTGTCTCACTGTCCCCACAACACTTACTATCTGAAATTATCCGTTGTTTTTCCCTTTGCCTCTCCCACTGCAGTGTATGTTTCGTTTGAGCAGGGATCTTATCTTGGTACCACTGGATCCTAGAATTGTGCTTAGTGTGTTCGGGAGATTCAACAGTGTTTATAAAACAAATGTGTGAGTGAAGTGCCGATACAGGGAGGGGCCCATGTGCATTAAACAAAATCTTGTATTTCAACAGGACGTTCCCTATTAGAGGCTTTCAGATTTATGACGGACCCATTCATCTAACCAGGTGTACTTTCAAAAAATACGTGCCCACCCCAGATAGGTACACCAGTGCTATTGGCTTCCTTGTGAAGAATCCCTGGCAGATAACTCCCAGGAATAACATCTCCCTCGTGAAGTTTGGTCCACATGTAAGTATGTCCTTACTGTACCCATGTGGTGACCGTGGCCGGGGGGGTGGGGCAGGGGGCGGGGCGGGCGGAGGATAGCTCATTCCCAAAGACAAAAACACAAAGTATTTGTACTGAGTCTTTACAACTGGGAGGAGAAGTAGATGCCAGAGAGACTCCTCATTCCGTGCACGCTGTCCTGTTGAGTTCAAGTTGAGAACAGAAGTCCCATGTGACCTGAGGTATTTTTGACCTTCAAGTGATACCTCAGAAGGGACTGTGGCTTAAAGTGATGACGTGGGCATGGGTATGGGAGAGTTTCAGAGGAACGGCAGGACATAGGATTTGGGGAAGTTCTTTGTAATAATCTATGAAGACAGCTGAGTTCTTTCTGGTATTTTACTTGTCTGGGGCTTATTCTTCTGGGGAACCAGAAGGTAAAAGGATGAGAAAGAAGAGGAGTACTGGGCTGGTATAAGCCAGATACAGATACAAACTGTTGGAAGGTTTTTATGAAGACTGCAAAGAAGACTGAGAAATAGTTGTTTACAATGCAGTAGCCTAGAGAAATTGTTTTCTTAGTGGTTTCATCAGTGCCGTCTGGACCCTGAGCACACAGGACAGTCTGATTACATACCTTACGCTCCGCCATCTTGCCTGTTCCAAGATGACTGTGGTCCAGGGAGGTTGAATCTCAGGCCTCCTCGCTCACCGCTCCCACAGGAGCTGCAACTGGAAAGTGGCTCATAGTTCTCTCAGTCATGTCCACAGACAGGCTCTGCCTAGTTTAAAACAGAACATGGGATAGTTTACCAGAGTCTGTATCTGGTTTTCCAGAATGGCTGAGGCATGAAACAGAAGCCCAGGTGCAAATTGGGGTGCCATCTTGGTTGACTGGTTCTCTTTTAGGTCCTATGACTCCAGGGGAAAGAGGGAGGGCTACACTAGCAGATAGCTTCCCATATAAATAAGTAGGGCAGTCCTTGGAGCAGCTTTCCAGGGTTGAGGTTGGGTGTTCACTTTCTGTCCACATAGACCTTTCCATACACAGAGTTCTAGTGACCCCTGACAGTCATTCTGAAAAACATTTCATTGGGTGTTAACATTGGCTATGGGGTTCCCGAGTTCTAACTTCCACGCTGTTCAAGTGTAGTGGTCATCAGCCTGGCAGGGGGGTCTGATGGTGCTAATGCGCTGGGAACAGTCTGTAGAGGATGGTTTGCCAATTTTGTTCTCCCCGAAAAGGTGGGAAATATGCCCTAAACGTCTCTTAGATTTAACCATAGAAGGTACAGGGAAATGGAAAAAAAAAAAAAAAAAAAGCCTACAACTAAGAATGTAGAGCCACTTGTCCCAAACATCACTGATTTTTCACTGAGTTGCCTATCATTTAGATATTCAGTTGATTTTACAACATCCGAGGATGATGAGTACATAAAAGCATCTTAGAGGTGTATCTGCAAGGCTTTGCATAACGTGAATAATTTACCACTAATGAGAAGCAGCTAAGGACTACAAAACATGTCACCTGCAGCCTTTGTACTATGTGTTTAATAAAAGCCTTAAATTAACTGTACCTGACATGGAAATTACTGAGCTGGGTTTGGTTGACGTTGAGGAGAAAGTAACACTTTTCAGCAGATTCTGGTGCGTCCAGCGGTCCTCCAGCATACCAACGCGACACTTGGACGGTGTTTCAGTTTGCAACTATACTTGTTTTTTGGTGGTGGGTTGGGTAGGGGGAGTCAAATGAACAAGCAACTAAAGCATTTGGAGTGAAATATTTATTTACTTGAGGTATAATTAGCAGGCAGGGAAATGCACACACCTTAAGTGTAAAGTTTATAATTTTTTTTTTTTAGGATTTATTTATTTATTTAGAGGGAGTGAGAATGAGAGAGAGAGAGAGAGCACATGAGAGGGGGGGAGGGTCAGAGGGAGAAGCAGGCTCCCCGCCGAGCAGGGAGCCCGATGCGGGACTCAATCCTGGGACTCCAGGATCATGACCTGAGCCGAAGGCAGTTGCTTAACCGACTGAGCCACCCAGGCGCCCAAAGTTTATAATTTTTAACAAATATGCATGACTGCATATCTCCCCTTCCCATTACTGTTCTGAGTCTCTTACCAAGGTTAGTTTTGTCTGGAGAGCAGGTAATTGTTTTTAAATGGAAAAAAAGGAAAACACCAAATATGTTTTCAACATTTGCCACTTGACCTCCACAATCCACAGGGCTCTGTAACTTTTTTTTTTTCTTTCCCAACCATGTCATAAGTAATTGAACAGTTTGATTGACTGGGTGCCATCGTTGATGACCGTGAACTGTGACTTGCGACTGCTCTAACCTTACAGCAGTTGAAATAGATACGCTGTTGGATCCTTGCAGGGGATGCCAGCCAGGATGGTAGAAGCCTTCATGTTGTGATGTCCTGTTTTTTCACTGCTGGCAGGTGTCTTTGAATGTCTTCTTTGGAAAGCCTGGCCCCTGGTTTGAAGATTGTGAGCTGGATGGTGATAAGAACTCCATATTCCACGACATTGATGGCTCTGTGACGGGATACAAGGATGCTTATGTGGGAAGAATTGACAACTACCTGATCCGCCACCCGAGCTGTGTGAACATTACCAGATGGAACGCAGTGGTCTGCAGCGGGAACTATGCCCAGGTAAGCCATTGTGCATTACGATGCCTGGCTCCGAACCAGCTCCCAACAGCATCGCTTCCATGAGCAGTGTTCTCCTGCTCTTCAGCATGATTGATCCTTTCCAAAGCATGATTTTTCTTTAGGAAAAGAGGAAAAAAAATTCATGAGGGATCATGGACTCATACAATTTTATTTCAGGTTCTCTTGCTCCAAAGCAATTAAACAAGTGGAAACGTGGGTCCAAGAGTGGTTGGACGATTTGCCCTTGGTTAAATATGCTTGGGATATAGGTGGGGTGAGAACCCGTATTTCCCAAGTCTTAGGCCAGGTTTTCTTGCCATGCTACCACAGGGCCCTCTGAGAGGGAGATTTATTCTTTGCTTTCAGGGTCATTATCTCTACTAAATTAGAGAATTAGGCAGAGGGATAAAGATTGGAGGGAGTTTTCTGGCTTACTTTTAAAGGAGTATTAGCTTCTTTGTTGTGGGATTTCTCATCCCCATAAGGAGAACAAAATGTTATTCTTGCCTAAGTTCTGGGAAAGACCAGGAAAAATGGAGAATTAACTATAGGAGAGAAGAAAAGAATGTGGTTTGAAATGTAATTTCTTTTTTCCTTTCATCTTATTCTTAATCAGAATTGCCTGCTAAAACTAAGTTAATCTAAGATGCTCTAGAAATTCTAGCAGTAAAATAAAACAAAACCAAAAAGATTTTAGCTCTTTTTTGTAGACACAGTTTTAGTTAAATTTCATGGGTGTGTGTCTGTCTGAGAGTGGTATGTGCTCACCAATGAAATAGAAAATTATTATTGATGTGCCCATCGACCCTTTGGATTTCAAATGTATTCGAGAACGTGAACCTAATCCTATCTTACAAAGCAGAGTAGTAATTCAATTTTTATTGGAGGATGAAGAAAGAAGTAAGTCATCTCATGCTTCCTAGGAGGTTCTGGAAATGGTAGGACCGCAAGTCAGAAATCTTTTCCTCAGAATTTGGGATTTGGGCTTGGGAGCCCAGATCCGCAGCCATTTGTTGTTTACTTAGATAATGTACAAGACTCTGTTTTTTTTTTTTTTTTTAAGATTTTATTTATTTATTCATGAAAGACAGAGAGAGAGAGAGAGGGGGCAGAGGGAGAAGCAGGCTCCCAAGGAGCAGGGAGCCCGACCCGGGACTCGATCCCAGGACGCTGGGATCATGACCTGAGCCGAAGGCAGACGCTTAACCATCTGAGCCACCCAGGCGCCCACAAGACTCTGTTTTTAGGCAAAAGGTAGAAGCACCTGGATCTCAAGATGCAATAATAATTGTTTGACTATTTATAAATATGTTTTAACTCTTTGCTAACTCAAGGGTTAAAGGGGCTCAGGAAGAAAGGTGGAAACATAAGGAGAATTAAAGTTACAGGGGCACCTGGGGGGCTCAGTTGGTTGAGTGTCAGCCTTCGGCTCAGGTCATAATCCCAGGGTCCTGGGATCGAGCCCCGCATCGAGCTCCCTGCTCAGTGGGAAGTCTGCTTCTCCCTCTCCCTCTCCCTCTGCTGCTCCCCCTGTTTTTGCTCTCTCCCTCTCTCTCTCTCAAATAAATAAATAAAATCTTAAAAAAAAAAATAAAGTTACATGTGTCACTTCCTATCCTTTCTGGATTTGGAAGAAGGCAGGAGATTGATTGATCTATCTCCTATTGTTATATATAACATATATAACCTAATATGTATAATCTGTTTTTTATATTACAACCTAGTTTTAAAATTATTTTAATTTATATTTTATATTCTATATTCTATATATAATCTATATAATAAATATAGATTAAATATAAACATTTTAAAATAAGTATAATATGTATGTCTAGTAACTATGAAATAATATATAGTACATACTAAATATATTTAAATTAAGACAATTGGGAGTCTCAAAATATGTATTTCCTATCTTTATTTTAAATCTTTAAGGGGTGTCCAGGGGCACCTGGGTGGCTCAGTCGTTAAGCGTCTGCCTTCGGCTCGGGTCATGATCCCGGGGTCCTGGGATCGAGCCCCGCATCGGGCTCCCTGCTTGGCAGGAAGCCTGCTTCTCCCTCTCCCACTCCCCCTGCTTGTGTTCCCTCTCTCGCCGTGTCTCTCTCTGTCAAATAAATAAATAAAATCTTAAAAAAAAAAATTTCTTAAGAAAAAATTCTTTAAGGGGTGTCCATAAAGAAGTGTTATTATATTGAAATAGTCAAACATGAATGAGACCTAAGGAGCTTTTCTGGCTCACAGGTTGTATACATGAAGAATTGTTACAGACAAAACCGTAGGAATGACAGGAAGGAAAAAAGAGCACTGTTGTGGATTAAATGCCCTCTTCTGCAAATGTTTTAATCCTCCTGGAGAATTCTGTTACAGGATAATGATTTGTTTTAGGAAATTGTTCTGAGGTGTGTTCTTTGGAGGATGCATTTGGAGAAGGTTTCGTTTTGGCACAGCGAGGGGCACAAATGCCACTGGAATAAATTCAGGATTTTTCAAATTTGTCTCTGTTTAATATATTTTTCCAGTTTTTGCAAAGTGCTTTATAGTTTTTTTTTTTTTTGAATGGATGAAAAATGATTTCTTGGGCTGATGTAGGTCATGGAAAATTGAAAGCCGAAGCTCTAAGATATTTCAGTTTTCCATCTCTTGTTTTAGAGGAAAGGCTTTCAGATTTGACTGGAGGGTATCAGTTTTCATATTAATTTACGGATTCATATGTGTGTTCTTCAGAGTGAGGTATTTCTTTGACAAACTATATAAGCCGCAAAGGTTTTATATTCTGATGAATAGGCTGGCCTGTGGTGGTGGAAGAGATGATGAAGATCTTGGCTAGCAGAATGCTGGGTCTGTTTTTACCATTCCAGTTTAAGTCGGCTTCATTTTAAGTATAACTTAGGATGAAGTTGGCTACTACTCATTTAGTCTGGCTCAGATCACAGAACCTCTGTTCTGGAAGGAGAGACAATGAACTTTGTGCTGCAAATGTTTGTTTAGCTTATGTAAGCTTTCGTTCTCTCCTCTTTAATTCTTTTTTTAAAATAAATTTATCAAGTTTTTAATTTTTTAGAAAGATTTTTATTTATTTGAGAAAGAGAGCAGGAGCACGGAGGGGGACGGGCAGAGGGAGAGGGAAAAGCAAACTCCCCGCTGAGCAGGGAGCCCCACGTGGGACTCGATCCCAGGATCCCGAGATCATGACCTGAGCCAAAGGCAGACGCTTAACTGACTGAGCCACCCAGGCGCCCCTTGAGTTTTTAATTTTAATTCTAGTATAGTTAACATAAAGTGTTCGATGAGTTTTAGATGTGTGATGTAGTGATTCCGCAATCCTACACATGACTCCGTGCTCATCACGGTAAGTGTACTCTTGAATCCCCAGTCCCTATTTCACCCATCTCCCCCCGCCCCCCACCTTCCCTCCGGTAACCACCAGTGTGTTCTCTGTGGTTAAGAGTCTTCTCCCCTCTAATTCTTAATTGCTTTTTGAAGGTTTATGTGCAGACATGGAGCACTCAGAATCTGACTATGACCATCACGCGAGATGAGTATCCCTCCTACCCTATGGTGCTCCGGGGCATTAACCAGAAGGCTACCTTTCCTCAGTACCAGCCTGTGATCATGCTGGAGAAGGGCTACACTATCCACTGGAATGGACCGGCACCAAGGACTGCTTTTCTATACCTCGTAAACTTCAACAAGTACGTCTGCATTACTGTTATTTCACATAGTGGAGCAAGTCGTAATTTCGTGGAGACAAATGATACCATACTGCTTTGGTAGCCAGTGAAGAATGCCGATTTCCCGTACTTTGTTCTTCTTAGGTGGAGGCTGTATGTTTTTTGTTGATGGAATTAAGCAGTTCCACAGGTTGAATCCTGTCATTTTAAAAAACATTTCTTTTTGTCTGTGGTCGAGGTATTGTGTGCAGAAAGCCACTTAACAAGAGCCTTTACTATAGTCTGTCAAGGGCTTTAATTCCCCATAGCTGGGATGGGAAGAAGTTTTATCTGGCATTCCAACTGAGCTCTTGGTTATCTAGAAAATGAAAAAAATTTCGAGGCCCAGTTTAGACCTGACAGAAGAGAGTGGCGTGATTGATAAGTAATGTCAGCGACAGGCAGGAGGGAGAAGAATCGGGGCGTGAAGGCCAGGCGCGTACCACGCCTGCCGGAAAGCGTCTGTCTGTCCCTTCTTAATTTCAGTTGTCTGTCCTAATAATACTACTTTCAATCAAAGGCTCTATTTTTACGTTAATTTATTCAAGTGTTTTCTGTGTGTCCGTTGATGTAAAGATGAACAAGAAAAGGACTTGTCTTTCGGGAGCTCCTGTTACCCAGGTCGAAAAAAATTTAAGTACATTGACAAACCAGTGCTATTTTTAGTGGACAAAGGATAGAGCAATAATGCTGCCTCTGGGGGCTGGGCCAGGCTGCACGGAGGAAGTGATACTAAGGGACCAGTCTTGGTGGAAAAGCAATACCATTGAGAAAGGGCTGGTTCTGCTCAGGGACGGATGGATTCAGTGTGATGGGAGCGTGGGGTGCATCGGGAAGTGACAGATGGTGCTGGGAGGAGGACTGGGACAATTTTGAAAGGCCGAGGTAACCAGTCTAGTTGGGTGTGATGGTGAACGCAGGGGACTCCATGAGACTGCTCAGATAGGTATTGGAAAGATTGAAACGGCCTATTCCCCTGGCTGGTCCTAACACTCTGACTTGTCACAGCTCTCTTAAAACACCCACTTGAAATGAACAGAGGTGGGCCTAGAACATGTAGGAATTCAGCTCTATGTAGATCACTTCCAAGGAGCTGTGCATATCAGTGGATGCCCTTCTGCGATGATAGGGCCCCAGCACCCGCTCTAAGCCGGACCGTGACTGTTTTCCTCTAACATTAACTGCTATTTCTCTGTGCCTTTGCCGGAGAATCGCACCCCTGCCTACTGAGTCAACCAAGGCAAAAATCCCAGGACTCATCACTGAGTCTTCTTCTCCTTCATCCCATCCCATCAGTGACCAAAGCCTGTTGGTCCTATCTCCTTAATGGTGTTCAAGTCTCTCCACTTTTTTCCACCCCGACTGCTTGTGGCTGAGTTCAGACCATTACCATCTCTCGCCTGGATCCTACGTGATCTCCCCACAGCCAATCCTTAGTTCACTTTGTGTCCAGGGTGAGGTTTCCAAAAGCCAGTCCGATATGGCCAGTCCTAGGAAGGAGCCACAGAGAAGGCTGTGAAAGAAACAGTGAGGATGGAGGAGAAATGTCAGAGTGATCCGTAACTCAAAGACTTCTATCCGCCAGGGTATGAATTTGAGGTGAGAGATTACAACCAAATGGTATACAGGGTTCTGTAAGGATCACACATAATTTTTGGAAAAGTACTGAGCGAGTAAAAATCTTTTAAAGTGAAATGAGGCTGAACCCAGAAGTTTCAAAAATCTGCATGGGCTTTGGAAGTTCAGTCAGACTTTCCTGGCTTAAGTAGCTCAAAGTTTATAAAAATTACATCATGGGCAGAGGCAAGAGGAAGAGAAGAACAGTTTTTCCCCCCAAATTTAATGTGATTATGGAGAGGTCATAGATCCTGTCACAGTGCCATTTCTACAAATAACACTTTAAAAACAATAAGAGCTGTGCTTATTCATTAAATAAAATAAGGAGAATAGAGAAAAACAAAGAAAATGGAAATAACCTATAATTCTTCTAATCACAGTGAGGCATTAGAAACATATTATTCTCCTGTCTCTCTCCACCCTCGTGTGTTTTCGGAGCATATAGATACACCAAAATTTACTTGACTACTCTCTTCCTCCGTGAGCACATACCTTGTTTTTCTTCTGCCAGCCCTGCTACACCCCCCCCCTTTTTGCTATTATAAATGATGCTGTGTAAAGCATCGTTCCTGGTCTTTGTTACTAGTTATTCTTTAGCGGGATTACTGGTAAAATCTGCATGAATAATTTTGTTACCTGTTGTTTAAATATTCTTTGGAAGAGTGGTGGTAAGTGTAGAACCTTGTGAATGTACTTAATGCTACTGAACTGTGGAGTTAAAAGTGGATAAAAAGATAAATTTTTGGTTATGGATATTTTACCACAACTTACAAAATGCCCTCAATCAGCAAGTGATTAAAAAAGGGGAAATATTTTTAATGGTTTCCAGAAAGTGTTGATTTTTGTATCTAAAGACAGGATATTATGTAAGAAAAAAAAACCACCACAGCAATTTGGTAATATGCATCGAAAGCTTTAAAAATACACATGCTTTGGGGCCCTTGGGTGGCTCAGTCGATTAAGCATCTGCCTTTGGCTCAGGTCATGATCCCGGGGTCCTGGGATTGAGCCCTGCATCGGGGCTCCCTGCTCGGTGGAGAGCCTGCTTCTCCCTTTCCCTCTGCCTGACGCTCTGCCTACTTGTGCTCTCTCTCCCTATCTCTCTGTCAAATAAATAAATAAATAAAATACATATGACTTTATATCCAGCTTTTTTTTTTTTAAAGATTTTATTTATTTATTCATGAGAGACGGAGAGAGAGAGGGAGAGAGAGAGAGAGAGAGAGAGAGAGAGAGAGAAGCAGAGGGAGAAACAGGCTCTCAAGGAGCAGGGAGCCCGATGCGGGACTTGATCCCAGCACCCTGGGATCATGACCTGAGCCGAAGGCAGACGCTTAACCATCTGAGCCACCCAGGCGCCCTATATCCAGCAGTTTTACTACTAAGTTTTTATCCTAATACAATCATAAAGGAAAGAATATATCTATGAACAAAAAAATTCTTTGGAGGGGCACCTGGCTGGCTCAGTCTGTGGAGCGTGTGACTCCTGATCTCAGGGTTGTGAGTTTGAGTCCCCCGTTGGGTGTAGAGATTACTTAAAAAAAAAAAAAGTAAGTAAAATTAAAAAAAAATTCTTTGGAAAGATTTTACCAGCATACACTCCCATTGTCAGGCTATTAGTGTTTCTCCCATTTTCATACATTCCCAGTCATCTCACTTAATTTTATTATCCTCTTGCAGTGTCTAAGTACATTTTATCCAACTTCTTTTTTTTTTTTTTTAAGATTTTATTTATTTATTTGACAGAGAGAGACACAGCGAGAGGGGGAACACAAGCAGGGGGAGTGGGAGAGAGGGAGAAGCAGGCTTCCCGCGGAGCAGGGATCCCGATGCGGGGCTCGATCCCAGGACCCCGGGATCATGACCTGAGCCGAAGGCAGCCGCTTAATGACTGAGCCACTCAGGCGCCCCGTTTTATCCAACTTCTATTCACATTCTCTGAAGTCCTGTTGAGACCAAGACATTTTTGTAAGCGAGACAACTGTTGTAAATATATTGATAAGTGAAGTTTGGGGAACGTACAGAGGCGGGTGATTTGCTAGTATGTCGGGGTACAGAACTTCCATTGTTAGTGGCTCGATCAATACACATCAGAAATTTAAGAAGGAGAGAAATCATGGCTGAAATTTACATATGCTGTAGTACTCAAGATATATAGGCTCAAGTGTGAATTCATTGTTTTATTGTCTCTCCTTTATAGGAATGACTGGATTCGAGTTGGCCTCTGCTATCCATCAAACACAAGTTTTCAGGTTACCTTTGGCTTTTTACAGCGCCATAATGGCTCATTATCCAAAATGGAAGAATATGAGCCTGTGCATTCACTGGAAGAATTGCAGAGGAAGCAGTCTGAGAGGAAATTCTATTTTGACTCCAGCACGGGGTAATTGGGCACAACCAGTGAATGAGAATTATTGCTATTTTTCTTTAATGGTGAAATTACTAGTTCTTCAGCCTAACTAAGAATAGGTTGTGATGGGACGGCTGTTTAGGAAAGCAGCTGATGTGGGTAATTCTCTGCTCATCACTATTAGAGGTTTAGAGAAGTAGAATGACTCGTAATTATAGTTGGCGGCAGGAATCAAATGAAGATGTTTGCCATATACCTATTAAGGCAATTTGGAGAGAGAAATTACCCTTGTCAGTGAAGAACCAGTAGGCCCAATTGAAAATTAAAATAATTTTTTTCTATGACAACCGTTAAGATGATTATTTACATGGAAAAGAGTTCATATTTCAGGAGAAGCTCATTTTTTTCTTCCTCTGAGGTGATCTCTCAAGTTGACCTTGAGTTTAAAAAAACAACCAAACCAAACCACTGTATAACCGTAGCATATTTGCTTTCAACTTTCTCTAGGCTGCGTCTTTCCACTTTTTAATTCTAATCCTGTTCACCCAGGGTCCTGTTGGCTTTGTCTGCCTTTATCCAGTTACAGTCTCTCAGCCTTTGGGCTATGGTAGGCTTGATCTCCTATACTCTTCCAGCAAGTAGCATGCTCCTTCAGCACCCATTCCTTAAGCTGGCATTCCTATCACATGCCATCGTCTAGGTACTGTAAAGATACTCATGTGAATAAGACCCATTTTTCACAGTCCACTGAAAGACATGGGCCTGTAAAGCAAGTCATCAGCGAGCTAGAGGTTTAAATGCTATAATTCCTATAGTGGGATATTCAGTGTGCCTTCTGAGGTCACCCAGAAGCCCAGCCTAGGACGATCAGTGACATCCCAAGAGGGTGACACGGGCTAACTCCTGAGGAATGAGTAGGAGATGGACAAAGAGAGGGGTCAGGTGTCCCCAGGAGCAGTGCGGATAGGTGCATGGAGGCATGGAAGAACGCAGCATGGCATGTTTGGGGGAAAGATGAAAGTTGAGAATGGGGAGAAGGCGTGAGGTTGGGGTTCAGTTAAGTGTCTTGTTTTTGAAGAAGATGCAGCTCGTTTGCCCTCCAGGGCCCCTCCAGCAGCCCGTGTGACCAGCTTAAGTCTTTTCTTATCATAATTGTCACTGATTTTCAGCAAGACTTAAAACAACCTATTTGGACTTTTATTCTACAGATGACAGAGCTTCCACATTCCCTGCTGATTTTCCACAAAAATAAATGGAGCACCCCAATTTGTGAGGATGGTCTAGGGATCACAAATGAATGATTAGCTGGGAAATATTTCTTTTCATTCCAACATTTTTAGAATCCATCAGCCTTCGAGGTTCTAATTCTTTTTTAATTCTATTCATTTTAATGATTTTTAATTAGGCCCCTTTCACTCCTTATGTATATATGTTAAAAGTACTGATGTTAGGACAATGGCTGGTTTTTACCTCATAACTGCAACTTTTCATTGTTCACTGACTTCATATTAAAATATGAATTCATGATCTCCAGTAATCAATCACGTTTGATCACATGCTTTACAATCTTGACTTCCTTTGGTTCAGAAAGACTAGGTTTGCTGACAGACGTTGGACTGTTGCCTGGAAGTTACTTTTCCATTCATCTTGGCGGCAGGAGGATAATTCCGAGTGGGCGGGGCTGTTCCTTTCCCTTGATTTTGGCCGAAGTACAGACAGAAGGACCTCAGGCCCATCTGCTCTTAGTAAACATCACAGGAATTGATGGGAGACCATATCTTGCCCTTAGCCAAGCAAGTCACAGTTGCTATTTTTATTTATTTCAAATTTATGCCTTAAACCAAAATGATTTATAAACCAAAAAAAAAAAAAATAATCAAAAAACCACCACACTAATTTATGAAATCCTAAACTCAACACAAGTCTAAAGTTTTCCAAGGAGGTTTTGAACCAAACCAAAGTCCATCCTCCCAAATTACCTATTGAACTATTTCACTCCAGAAGTTAACTTTGATATGTTCCAGAATGACTGAATCGGGTCATCAAAATATTTTCTGAAAGTAGTGTTGCATTTGCGTTTAGGGCCCTAGGAGGATAGAAAGGAAGGAGAAACTACTTCATTAGTTTTGTAATTTATTTTCTTTTAAGGAAAAGTTACTTTATTAGAGGAATAGCCCTTTGGGCGCCGTGAGCCAATGTGAGGAATTTTCGTGAGTTTTTGAGAGTCCGTCTAACATCCCATGGATTGGTTTGTGTTCCGCTCAGGTTGCTGTTTTTGTATCTCAAAGCCAAAAGCTACAGGGATGGCCACAGTTACTGTTCATCTCAGGGATGTGAAAGAGTCAAGATCCAGGCAGCAACGGACTCAAAAGATATCAGTAACTGCATGGCCAAAGCCTATCCCCAGTATTACAGGAAGCCGTCAGCACTCAAGCGCATGCCCTCCATGCTCACCAGGCTCTGTCAAGGCTGCGGGACCCGCCAGGTAAACAAGGAGGAACGGTAGGCTATGGGTGGAAAAGAATCAAAAAGCAGTTTTTTTGTTTGTTTCTTTATTTTGGCAATAGGCACATTTTTCTTTGAAACACCAGTCTTGCCAAGTTATAAATACTGCATGATTTCCCCTGAATTTTGGCCCGTTCTACAATGTGATAATCCTAAGAAGCAAACTAGTCCAAATTCATAATAGAAATATTTTACCTGGTGATACAGCCATTTACCCTGGATGACTGTAGACTTTTTGGTCCTCATCTTTCCCCTCCCCGCCTCAGGTTTGATTCTGTTACAATATTGCTATTGGATTTACATGTCAGTCATGTAGAAAAATACTTTGTTTTATTGAGGACTATAAAATTTCTTTTCCAAAAATGCAACTCATATATGGGGCACTGGGTGGCTCAGTCGGTGAAGTGTCTGACTCTTAATTTTGGCTCAGGTCATGATCTCAGGGTTGTGGGATCCAGCTCCACATTGGGCTCTGTGCGAAGCATGGAGTCTGCTTGAGATTCTCTCTCTCTCTGCCCCTGTCCCTCCCTCACTAAAATAAATAAATAAATCTTAAAAAAAATGCAACTCATATGAAAATTGTCCCCCCCTTTTTTAAGGTGGAAAGCTACTGTTAATTTTGAAGCATGTGCTATTACATTTACCTGTAATTAAAAGTACAAACTAACTTTGGCTAGAAGGAAAATCCTTCTTCTTCTTAATTACAAGGTTTCCCTCTGGATCTTGAGAAAACATGGCAATGAAAGTAAATCCAAAATATGAGCTCAAATTGTGCATGGGGTTTTCAAAGGAAGTCAGACCAGCTCCAAGTGAAGAAGTATAAGTTAATATTGCTCTAATTAATATTTAACCTTTACACAGATAAATATGGGTTAAGGGAAATGGTTCTTTTTTTTTTTTTTAAGATTTTATTTATTTTTGACAGAGAGAGTGTACAAGCAGGGGGAGGGGCAGAGGCAGAGGGAGAAGCAGGCTCCCAGCTCAGCAGGGAGCCTGATGTGGGACTCGATCCCAGGACCCTGGGATCATGACCTGAGCCGAAGGCAGACACTTAACCATCTGAGCCACCCAGGCACCCAAGGGAAATGGTTCTTAAAGTGTGGTCCCAGACGAACCGCATCAGCATCACTTGGGAACTTGTAAAATATTAGAATTCTTGGTCCCACCCTAGTTCTACTGAATCAAAAATGTTTCTCATTTGTTTTTGCCTATTGGTGGCAGTAAGGTCAGAGAGAGGAACATGGATTATTCTTCCTGTTATCATATATAAGTATTTTTTCAAAGGCAGCTCACTATCCACAGTTTCAATCTTTCATATCCCTGTGCCATTTCTATTCTCCACCTCAACTGAAACCAGCCCACCAACCCACCTACCAACCTACCAGCCAGCCACCCAACTCACCAACCAACCCACCAACCAAGCCAACCATGTACATGAAGAAGTGTGTATAGATCCTTGCCTGTCCCATGTAATATCTTGACTATTAAAGTGACATTTTATTTATTTTTTATTTTATTTTAATTTTTATTTTCTGGGGGGGGGAGGGACAGAGGGAAAGGGAGAGAGAGAATCTTAAGCAGGCTCCGTGCCCAGCGCAGAGCCCCATTACGCCTGGCTCGACGACACAACCCTTGAGATCATGACCTGAGCCGAAATCAAGAGTCAGATGCTTAACTGACTTAGCCACCCAGGCGTCCCTAAAGTGATATTTTTAGATAATCTTTGTGGGGAAGTAAGTTCTCCAGCCTCATTCTCAAGCCGAATTTGTTAACGTCCTTCATTACAGAAAAGATTATATAATTTATTATAACAATCGCAACATGATAATTTGTAAATAATCATCATTGGAAATACCCCAAGCCTATCTTTTTAAAAGGTTCCATACATTAATGTTTAGCATTCCTTGTTTTTTTGTGTGTGCTTGAAACATTGATTAGAATTTATTTTTTAAAAAATGTATCGATTACTGACTTGGTGCTGTTGGAAAGTACTTGAAGCATTTGGGAACCTCAACTTTTACTTGGAAATTTGAACGAATGAGTTTGTTTTGAATATCGGAAAGAAACACACGTACATGAGGAGTCAGTAGGAAAATTCACACAGGCTTTTGACTCCAAACCTGAGCTTCTGAATGTTGAGTATCATGATTGTTTGCCCTTGGAATGAAGTTGTCGACATGCATTCATCAGGAATATATACCTTAAGTGCTGAATTGTGTGAGAGTTCGGCCTGCTTTTGAACGAGAAGAAAGCCTTTAGGGAGGAGGTGCAAGGTGGGATTTGGAGGCTGAGAGTGATTTCAAGGAGTGGAAGGAAACAAGGAAGGGCATTCTGGGGGGAGGGAACAGCATCTGCAAAGGCAGAGTGGCGGGAAAGGAGATGAAGCACTTGTGGGAAAGCGATAGCTGCAGAAGGGATAGAACCAGGGGGATTAGGGGCCTGGATATAAGGCGTGGCTTCATTTATGGGACACGTTGCAAGTCAGGTAGAGGAAGTTGGCCTGGTGATGCACTTTTGAACAGGGTAATGCTTGTCACCTTTACTTCTCTCAGTTCTGGAGTGACTGAGTCCCACCTCAAGATAACTGGTCTGAAAAGGACAAAGGTCTAAGTGTAAAGCACATTTACTTAGTCATTTGCAGAATTGATTTTCTGAACAAGATTACAATTACTTGAGACTGGGATTATTCCAGAAAAGGGGGAACATACATTTCTTATATTAAATCCGGATCCAAAGATGGAAGTCCAGGCCATTCAGTCTGTACAAAAAGTTCACAGGGGAGAAAAAACACCATTGGGTTTGATATAGTTGAGTTGATTTTGAGGCCCTTTTGAAGGAAGATGTGGTTGACAGAAATATGGAACTTCTTCCCTGTTTAGGTGGTGTTTACTAGTGATCCTCATAAAAGCTACCTCCCCGTGCAGTTCCAGTCACCCAGTAAAGCAGAGACTCAGCGTGGAGACCTGTCTATTATCTCTGTAAGTACCATCCGGCCTGTACCCTGCCTCAGCTTCTCACTTTTTATGTTTTATCCCGGTGACATGAATTATCTCTGGTAACAGCCACTTGGTGGCAAGCAGTATAATAGAGGTACAACTACCTCCTAAACGTTTGCGTTTTTAAGTACATTAAATGTATTAAGTCTGTTTTCTCACTGGATTGTGTTTATTGACGACTTTGAGGTGAACGTTAAAATTGGTTCTCTCTGGATTGTGTTTATTGATGACTTTGAGGTGAATGTTAAAATCGGTGAATGTTAAAATTGAGGTGAATGTAAAAATGTAAAAATTGAGGACTAACCAAGTGTTAGTCCTCTGTTCTAAGCGGGTTTATGGAAGTATAGGCCTGAGCCTCATTGTCAACACATAGAATCTGGGCGAAGAGCCAGGCTAGCCAGTGTTAACCAGCTCTTGGCTTGAGGTCTGTCCAAAATCAGGGTGACCAGAGCGCCACTGTATAATGAGCTCTCGGGGTGGCAGGTATCTAGACATCTAACTAATATCTAGCCAGGGGCTGGTCCTAGCCTCATGTGGTTTCTTTATTTTTATTTTTTATAGGTTTTATTTATTCATTTGAGAGAGAGGGAGAGAGCGCAAGCAGAGGGAGTGGGAGAGGGAGAAGCAGGCTCCCCACTGAGCAGGGAGCCCGATGCGGGGCTCGATCCCAGGACCCTGACACTTAATCCACTGAGCCACCCAGGCGCCCCTCATGTGGTCTCTTTGAGGAGCTCATTTTTTTTGTTTGTTTTTTTATAATTGAAGTATAGCTGACATACAATATTGTATTAGCTTCAGGCGTAGTGATTTGACATCTGTGTACATTATGAAATGTTCACCATAGTAAGTGAAGTTACTGTCTGTCACCATACAAAGTTATTACAGTATTATTGACTCTATTCCCTGTGCTGTACTTTTCCTCCCTGTGTCTTACTTTTTTTTTTTTTTTACTTATGTATTTTATAACTGGAAAAATCTGTATCTCTTAATCCCCTTACACCTGTTTGATGCATCCTCCAACCATAGGAGCTCAGGTTTTTAAGGTAGTGAGCAACACAATCACAGATCCACATGTATGTGGACAAAATTATATCTTACTCTTTTTTTTCTTTCCCAATTTCTTTTATTGCGTCAAAATATACATCACATAAAATTCATTGTCTTAACCATTTTTAAGTGTATAGTGCAGGGGTGTGAAGTACACTCGTATGGTATGCAAGCATCACCACCATCCATCTCCAGGATTGAACTCTGAATTAAGAATATCCCTCCTTGGGGAGGGGAGGGTGAAATGGGGTGTTATTGATCAACAGACATGTAGTTTCAGGTAAGATAAATAAGCTCTCCAGATCTGCTATATGACATAGTCCGTGTAGTCAGTAATTATGTATTGTACCCTTAAAATTTGTTAAGCAGATGGATATTGTGACCTCACACACACAAAATTAAAAAGAAAGAAAGACAGACTATCTCTATTTAAATGTAGCTCAAAGATTCCCCAACTATATATGTATGCCTCTTGCCCTTGGTTAGCAACTGTTCATTTTGTAGTATGTTCATGATGTAATTTTTTCTGGCGTAAAATTTGTTAGCTTAGCCTCTCAGTGCAGTCAGCTGCGTGGAGAACCTGATCCCAGCCTTGTTGTCATGGTATCTGGTGGGAGTTAGTTGCAGAAGGGAAGCAAGTGGGTGCTGAGTCGCTCTGCTCCACTAAGTCCACTAAACAATTCAAGAAGATACTGTTTTGCCCATAAAATCTCAGGCGGGCTCTGCTCCAGGGTCTGAAGACAGTTTTTTTTTTTTAACTCTGTTGCTGCACACGGGGTGCTCAGGACCCCAGAAAAGTCACAATATTGTGTTTTGTCATATTTACCTCCGATACTTTACCCAAGCATTGCCTGAAGAATCTTTGCTAGAACATGGTGTTTCCTAAGTCTTTATGGACACTTTTGTGTTTTCTTTAAGTAACAGGTTTTAAGGGGTTCTTTTCAAGGGGACAGTTTAAGTGTGTTGAGGATCATTATATATTTTTTCTCAAATGTATCTCAATTTTAAGTATTAAGATTTTTTTAAATAAGAGAATCACTCCCAGTCTTCCCAAATATAAAGTGGTACTTTACCTCAAGGATTTCCAGAATTGTTCTCTGGCTTAGAGCAATATAAACATAGGCAAAAAAAAATCATTCGATTCCTTTGAGACCAATAGCGATTAGAAATAAAATTTAGGGGCACCTGGGTGGCTTGACTTCGGCTTGGGTCATGATCTTGGGGTCGTGGGATCGAGTCCCGTGTTGGGCTCTGTGCTCTGTGTGCAATCTGCTTGTCCTTCTGCCCTTAGCGCTTGTTCTTTCTCTTTCTCTCTCAAATAAATAAATAAAATCTTTAAAAAAAGAAATAAAATTTAAATAAAATTTCCTCAAACATGGACAAGTGTAGTAGTGATGGCATTTCTCCTTTGTTAGCTTTAGCATAGTTTATAATTTTATACATTTTATTTTTTTCAAGATAAACGTTTTTTTTTTTAAGTTTTTATTTATTTATTTAAGTAACCTCGATGTTCAGTGCAGGGCTTAAACTCAGGACCGAGATCAAGAGCTGCACGCTCCTCTGAGTCGGCCACGCGCCCCAATTTTATACATTTAAAAATAGGAACATTGCCTATGGCTTAAATTAGTGTTCAATCATTTTTTAGTACAGCAAGTCTTTTTTCCTTCTTTTTTGGCTGAGGAATTAATGATATTTGGATGTGTCTGGAGTTCCTTTTTCCTAAAGAGGTCTCAAACCACTAATGTAATTTAAAGAGGACTCCTGGAAATTTCAGCTCACAATAATTGTGAACAAAATCTATTAATACCTTGTGGCTTACATCCTGATGAAATGACCACTTTTCCATTTTGATTTTATTTTTATTTTTTTATTTTTTTAAAGATTTTATTTGTTTATTTGACAGAGAGAGACACAGCGAGAGAGGGAACACAAGCAGGGGGAGTGGGAGAGGGAGAAGCAGGCTCCCCGCCGAGCAGGGAGCCCGATGCGGGGCTCCATCCCAGGACCCTGGGATCATGACCTGAGCTGAAGGCAGACGCTTAACGACTGAGCCACCCAGGCGTGCCTCCATTTTGATTTTAAAGGAGAGCTATGGGTGGGACAAAGGAGATGAGGCCGTCTAGCTCCTTCGGTGTTGCAAACCTAAACTCTACTGGGGGGTTTCTGTGTCGGGGAAGGCATGATATTTTTCTCTGAACCAGTGTGACTGTAAGTGAGCTACGGGAACTGTGGTACAGAGGCTGGTGCCTGATCGCTGAGTTTAGAAGCTTTGACCCCAGTGAGAGAGTGGTGGTAGGCATGAAGTTCTTATGCCAGCAGCGAGAGTCACGCTGCTCATCTGAGTGTGAGCTGCCGTGCCTTGCTCAGAGCATCCAATCCAACCAGTAAAGACCAATCAAAGGCACAGTCTAGAACACTGGCAGGGTTTCAGATGTTGGCGGAGAAAGAATCACTGGATGATGCAGTTTGAATCCTGGAAATAGAATTTGATTCATGGGTTTAGAAGACCGAGGGAAGGGCTCGGACTCATCAAAGATGAGTCATCTTGGAGATATAAATGGGGTGATGACAGCAGAAGACATGTTTCTCTGTTCTCAGGTCAATGGCACCGACTTTACCATCCAAGACGCGGGCGTCCTTCTCCTTATTGTGGATGCCTGCAGCGTTCCCTTCCGGTTAATGGAAAAAAAGATTTTCTCTCCTGCTGATATCAGTCTCATGGAAGAGTATTTGAGAACAGGCATCCCTCCAAGGTAGGTGATGCTTGCTCTGCAAGAGGAGACAGGCCATCGGAACAGGTGACACCTGGTTAACTCTGAGCTTTGGTTTGTCTTTCCACCCTTTTACGGTGTGGGCATTTAGGGCTGTTGAAAGGTGGTCATTCCTTTCCCGTCTCAGATTGACGCCCATGTGGTCTAAATAGCATAGTATTGCTCAGCGAGAGCCTGGATGTGAGCAGAGTTTGCAAATGGTGTGAAGGCTCTTAGAAGGGGAATTGCTCGGTATTTTGGAACCTTGCTGCCCACTTTTTAGTAGTTGGTCGATTACATTGCACCTAACTCAGAAGGTTCATTTCCAGTTTAAAGCAATTTTATACACAATTTGACCTTTGTGGCCATCTGTCCTACTGATAAGACAGCATTATGCTGTGAATTCACCACCTAGCTCACATGGAAGTGACTGGAAAGTCCACTGAGTTTTATTTTTATTATTATTTTTAAAGATTTTATTTATTTATTTGACAGAGAGAGAGCACAAGCAGGGGGAGCGGCAGGCTCCCTGCTGAGCAGGGAACCCAATGCACGGGACTCAATCCCAGGACCCTGGGATCATGGCCTGAGCCGAAGGCAGATGCTTAACAACTGAGCCACCCAGGCGCCCCTGTCCACTGAGTTTTAACTGGACAGGTATCTGGTCTCTCTTTTAAGAGCCCTGGCCTGATGCGTTTTGTTTTGTTGGTCTCTGAAGAAGCATGCACATGAGCAAAGCCTTTCTTTTTGGGGACTGGTTAGACCCTGCCTCCTAGAGGCAAGGAGACGAATTCAGGCTCCTCCCTGCCTCCCTTGGATGTGCTATAGATGCTGACTCACAAGCAGACCTTCATTTAGTGAAGCAACTAAGGGAAGGGCATAAGCTTCCTGGGGAGTGAGGTCCTGTCTAGTTTTTGAACGCATCTTCAGTCATCTGATGACTTGACGCTCTTTACATATGGCAGAACCAGATTTCAGTGAGTCCTGTAAAGTCGTTGGATTATTTGAGTGTAATATTCAGTGTGCAGGTATAGCTCTGTCTTCTGCTTTGAGATGCTTCTAGGGAATTCCTTTCCAAGGCCTCAATTTTCTTTAAGGACTTAAAAGATTTTTCCTAATGGTGAAAACATGTACTCAGTTCACTGGGCATACAGCTCACCATAAATTTTTAGGATAACACGGCAGTCCTGTAAGATACCCTGTAGATTTAAGAGTTAAAACCAACTCATTAAAAAGTCACTAGGTTGTTTCTGGAAAGGGGACTGAAGGAAGGCTTTTAAGATATGCATAGTGTTCTGTTTCTTCATCTGGGCTGGTTACATGAGTACGTTTAGTGTGCAGAAATTCAATATGCTGTACACTTAGTGATACTTTTCTGTATGTATGTTGTATCTTTTTTTTTCTTAATATTTTATTTATTTATTTGAGAGAGAGAGAGCATAAGCAGGGGGAGCTATAGAGGGAGAGGGAGAAGCAGACTCCTCACTGAGCAGAGAGCCCAACATGGGACTCGATCCCAGAACCCTGGGATCATGACCTGAGCCGAAGGCAGACGCTGAACCAACTGAGCCACCCAGGCGCCCCTGTATGTTGTTTCTTAATAAAGTGTTAAGAGGTTTGGGAGCAACTACCAATGTCTTCTAGAGAACTAGGCACATGTTGGGGTGTGCGGGTCCCTGGGGACCTGTAAGTGAGCTCATGGGACGAGTCTGAAGAGGGTCAGGCCTGTAAGGTTGCTGTGGTCGGACCTCTGTTCTGACTCTGAATGGTCACCCCTGCTTTAGAATGACATTGACATGTCAAGACCCACATTAAGAAAATGAATACTAATGGTTATATAAAAGTTGAAGAAAAGGATAGTAGAAGAATAAATGTGGGAGAGTAATAAAATCTTTGTAAACAACTTAAAATAATACAAGGGGCTTGTTTTATAACATACTAAAATAAATCACAAGGCCATAGTAATTAAGCCAGCATAACATTGGAAGAGGAGAGAGAGAGAGATCAGAAGAAGAGAAAATCCACAAACAGATTTTTAAGTATATGTGTTGATATGCTGCATAATAAACATGGAATTTAAACCAAACCATGAGGCGCAGATTTTATTTCTTTTTAAAATTGGTGTTTTTATTCATTTATTTTATAAGTAGGTAATAGGACATGAATAGATAGAACAGCTAACCTGGGTGGGGCCGGGGAGCCTGAACTTGTAACAGCAGGGATGTGAAAAGCATCTGAGGTGTTTTTTTCTCCCCCTGTTTGGTTTTAGTTCTGCTTTTATCTAGTATTTCTATGCTATATTAAGTTCAGAAAGGTACTCAATACATGCTGATTTATTGAAATTCCCTCCAATTTTCTGACTCTTACATACAGGTCAATTGTTCTGTTGAGCACAAGAGGAGAAATAAAGCATTTAAATATTTCCGATTCATTAGTACCTCTGGGATTAGCCAAACCAGCTCATCTTTATAACAAAGGTTTGTATTTGTATTATTCCTTGAAGTTCTTATGAGTCCAGCCACAGACGCGTTTTTAGGGTGGACTATAGCCCCTAGCCCGTCTTCGTGAGCTTATTTTGCTGGAGTGGGTATCATTAAGATAATTTTTAAATAAGGAGACATTATTCCAGGAAGTGTTTGGGGATGTGGTTTGTTATTTGGGGCAAGAGGTGGGTGGTCAGAGTTCATTGACGTAAGGAAGTGTAGCTTTTCTGTTTCATAGTTATCTTTGTTTTGCTCACCTCCGACTCACCTCCTGCATTGTCTTGCCTGGAATGAGTAGATGGACAAATTGCACTTTTTTTTTTTTTTTTTTTTTAAGGGAGTACTATATTTTTGGGATTCAGCGGAAAGTTTAAACCATCATGGGCTAAGCTGTTTACCAGTCCTGCTGGCCAGGGCCTTGGGCTGCTCGAACAATTCCTACCTTTGCAGCTGGATGAATACGGTTGTCCCCGAGCCAGCATTGTCCGCCGGAGAGATCTGGAGCTGTTAATGCAGACTGCAAAAGCACATTAGGGACTCACTGTAACTTAAGTGCTGGGGGAAGAAAAAAATGTGAACTAACTTATTTAATTTATGGCATTTTAAAGTGACACTGTTAACCCAATGGAACCATTTTCCTGTTTGATAACAGAGAGGGGACGAAAGAATTTAAAGGGATGGCTTGAATACCAGCTCACGCACCTTCTAGTTGTACAAAGTGTTGAAGAATTTATTTGTGTTTGTTAGGCTGGTATATTCGGAGAGCATTTCTCCTGTCCCTCACCCGCCACTCCGTGTATCTCTTAGTGACTCTCAGCAGCTTCATCTTTTGTAGAACAGGATGCCGTGGGGGTGTGGTGGGGGCCTCTGAGGGCCAGCCCGAGTCCTTGAGCGGACCAGCTCTTGTATACGTTGGATACTTGAAGTCCGATGCCCGGTTGTGTCATTGGCTTTGGGTAGCTGTTGACGGGTGGCTGGTGTGTTCAGCGATGCCCTGGGCCCTGGATCGGGGCCAGCAGCTTTGCGGATTGTATAGGATGCTCAATGACAGTCTTAACTGGCAACTCAGGCCCAGCTCATGCCCTTTTTTTTTTGCCTGGGGCATGTGCTATTTTTATTCATTTGTACATTGATTCCTTCCCAGGGTCGAACTTTCACACAGAAAGCATACTGGGACGAAAGGGCTTTAGGGATTTGACATCCCTTTAAACTTGCGCCCCCGGGGCAAATAATTTGATCTGCACCGAGGTCTGAAGTTGTTGGGACCATATTTGCAGCTTTAATCCTTAGCCTGTTTCGACGGTATATTTGTGTTTAAAATGCAGAGCTGAGCTGAATATTTACATTTTTTTAAAAAGAAGAAGGCCGTGTTCCTGAACTGTCCACTTGGGTCGTTTCAAGTGGCACAAAGGAAGTCTGTTCTTGGGGTGGCTCCTGTACCTGGGTTTCATTGTTTTCATGTGATTTTTTTTTTTTTTTAAGCTTTCCTGCTCACCATCCTGCCAGGAAAATTACAGAAAGCTTAATGATACCCCAAAATATTGTACTTGGGGAGAAAAAAGGGAGAGCTTTTGAAGGGCCAGAATCATGGAGGGAGGGATATTCAGAAACAATACTCTGGAGAGCCTTAGGGGAGTTGGTCACTCTTAATTAATTACATTGCTAGAGCCAATTACAAACAAAGTGCCACGATGCGAGATTTCCCTTCCCACTGGGTGCATGTGTGTCCTGCCAGTGAGAATTGCATGTAGCAGAAAGATTAGCTTCTCAGCCAGGGATGACACCACACCAAGGGGAAAGAAGGCTCAAAAAATGCTTTTGCCCTTTCCCAAACCTGCAATACATGGAGTGTTTGAAGACATGGCCGTGGCGAGAGGGTAGGAAGTGAGTTCAGGCTGACTTGTAGTGAATATGGGCAAATTCACTCTCCTCTACCAAGAGCAAAGGCTGAGGGCCTGTCCCTTGGCACGCAGGAGAAACTGCAGAGCAGGTCTGAGACTTCTGTTACTTTACAAAATATGCTACCTCAAAATGCTACCGATAAACCATTCTAACTCTTAAGTGCTCTTGCTAAGGGCATGTGTCTTAAAGTTGAGGGTTGTTGTTGTTTTTTTCTTTTGTATATTGATGAACGAGATCTTACCTATTAAATATATTATTGGATCATGGTTCCTGAAGGTGATTAAAGTTTGTGTGTGCGTGTGTGTTTTTTTATGACTTAAATATCTTTGATGTGTGTTTTTTAGAGTTTGGTTCTTTAAAGATTTGGAGAGGCAATGTAAGTTCCGAGGCACTCAGTTTTTCTGATTTGTATGCTAATTGTCAGGGCCTAAGTTAAATAAATAAAAATATGTGTGCATGTATTTTTTATATATGTGTGTGACTGAGTCAATCGATCAGCTGTTTTTTATTCCAGCGTCCAGCCCTGAAGAAGCTCTTGGCAGAGATGAGGAAGGGAAACTGTCTGCCAAGTAGATGATCCCATTCTGCAGTGCAGAGCTTCTCCACCGAGCCTGTGCAATGGAATTGCCTGGGAGCTTTAAAAAATATAAAGACCTGCCCCCCCCCCCCGCCCCGACACTCAGATTTAATTGGGGTGGGTTGCAGCCTGGGTACTGGAATTTTTTTAAAGCTCCCTGGGTGATTCCAGCTTGCAGGCGGTTTAAAAACCACTGCACTAATATAGTAGGTCCACTGTTTAACTCAAGTCTGTAATTTTTTGTGTCTCAAACAAAATCACAGGTATCTATTATTTTTACCTGCTGTTCCTATGTTCCAGAACCCCCAGCCCTAAACAGCGCTTCACTATTGTCTTCTTTTAATAGAATTTTAAATATACGATTTTTAGTCCATAATCGCCTCACATTGTTGTCAGTCAGCTAAGCTTTTAAATGCATTTCCGGCAATGGGGGAGCCAGCAATCTGTTTTATTTCTATGGGGAAACTAGATTCAAAGGTGATTTATAAGTTCATAAGCATTTTCCATCAGGTGAGGCAGTTGGCGGAGCTCCAGAAATGTGGCTGTCCACAAATCAGCCAGCTGATGAGAAACACAGGGCCTTCTCATATGTCAACAGACATGAGGGTTTTAAGTCTTTGCTGTGAGGTTCCTGCCTCTGCACCTGAGCCGGTATGCCACGTGGTCTCTTCAGAAGCTGGAGGAGAGCTTGCAGGAAGATGAAAGGCAGGCGCCAGGTCTCATGATGTGACTCCAAAGCTGACATTCAGGTGCGGGGATGGTGATGGGGGCAAAGGGTTTATGACTTCTCTGTTCTGCAGCTTCATCAGAAGAGAACACATCCTCTTGCCATTAAGTGGGTAACTGTTGTGAGGAGGGGTGGGCCATGAGGTGATAGATGCTTGAAGGCTTCAGATAACTAGGTCTTCATTCCCTAAGAGATGAGGTCATGTTTGGATAAGTCCAGTGGAAGGCATTTTAATAAACAGGAATGCACTTAGTGAATTCAAGTGGGGTTTCTCCTGCCACTTGGTGCTTGTAGGTAAGTACACAGAGCTCGTCATGACTGTGTTTGTTGATTCTGTTATGCAAAGTTGGACCTTACCCTCCAGAAATCTTGTCTGGCTTTCAGATACTTAGGAAACGATGTTTAATAACTGGAGAAATTCCCCTAAAGGTGAAGACTGTGAATGGGAGTAATTGGGTAACAGATTTGTATCATTACTGTTGTCTTAACTTGGTAATAACCCAGTGCGCTAGAAATGCAAGCAGACACTCTGGACAGGAGCTGATTTTCAACCAAAGATCAGGGAGGAAAAAAAAAAATCAAAGAAAGCCATCCCCAGTCCCTTGTTCACAAATAACAAAATGCTATTCACATCTTGCTGGACCTTTGGAGTCATTTGGAAGGCAGAGGGTTTTGTTCTGTTTTTTACCCATTTGTCCTTAAAATAAGAGAGAAGCTGGGGACACCTGGGTGGCTCAGTCGGTTAAGCGGCTGCCTTGGGCTCAGGTCATGATCCCAGGGTCCTGAGATCGATCCCTGGGTCGGGCTCCTTGCTCAGTGGGGAGTCTGCTTCTCCCTCTGCCTCTGCTCATACTCTCTCTCTCTCTCTCTCTCATAAATAAATAAAATTAAAAAAAAAAGAGAAGCTGAAAAAATGCTAATCAGGCCCTGGTGTTGTGGAGGAGGGCATACACACACTTTATTTTATGTGATAAAATTAGAGAATGACTGAACTATGAAGATAATGAGGAACTGCGCCCCACGGGGCATCCAAAAATATCAGCCATAGGAAGGTGTGAAATGTTCTATCTGAAAATACATCAGAGTCAGTCAGAAAACAACCTCATGGATTCAGTTTTTCAATTTTCCTAAGATGGACAGTGTGATTAGTCTGGATATGAAAAGTCATCAATTTTGGGCACCTGGGTGGCTCAGTCGGTTGAACGTCTGCCTTCAGCTCGGGTTGTGATCCCAGGGTTCTGGGATCGAGCCCCGCGTCGGGCTCTCTGCTCAACAGGGAGCCTACTTTTCCTTCTCCCTCTGTGTTCTCTCTCTGCGTGTGTCAAATAAATAAATAAAATCTTAGAAAGGAAAGAAAAGTCATCAATTTCAAGTTTATCCTCAGAAGAGCTTAGGCTGTACGGAGGCCAGATTTGCCCCCTGACTGCTTTTGTACCAATTCTGAGCGAAGAATGGCGTTTACACCTTTAAAGGTAACACATTGGAAAAAGTCAAAAGAAAAGCGTAATTTTGTGATGTGAAAATTAAAGTTCAGTGTTCATAAGTGAAGTCTTATTGGAAGACAGCCACACCCATTTGCTTCCGTGTGGACTAGATAGTCCCAATGGCAGACCCGAGTAGCTAGCTGGGTGAAGAGTCTACATGGCTTCAAAGCTGAAAATGTTAACTCTGTTTCTTTACTGATGAAGTTTGCTGACCCTTGCTCTTGGTGAAGGGTCTGCTGGTGTTCATTATTCTCTTCTTGGGACTTTCATAAGGTTTGAGAATTTTTTATCTAGAAAGTTAAGGAAAAAACAAGCATCAGTATCACCTGAGGTGCTTGATGAATGTGGAGAATCTCCAGCCCCAACTTAGACTGGAGAATTGGCATCTCTGGGAGTTGGAGCTGGGAATGTAATTTTATAACAAGCTCCCTAAAGAAAAGTCTGAGAACTTTTTTGAGAACCCCATAAGGTGTAGTGAGCTCCTGTTACTTCTCTCCTTCCTTTCCTTCAGCAGAGAACACATCTGAACAAGTCCGAATATTGTGTTTTTTAACCCTGGTCTCCGTGGTCTTCCCCAGAGCTTTGTGTGACAGATGCAAGGCAGATCTGATGCGAACAGCATTCTGTGACTGTTCCTGGGGCAGAGGTTTGGAGCCCATGATAAAAGCCTCTCTCCATCATCTGAAATTCTCATTGTTAGAATTATTCGTTTGGCTTAGTTATTCCCACGATGGAGTGCCAGCCATCCTTTGTTTTCTGCAAGTTCTTGTTAGTTTTAGGAGTTTAAAGGAAAGTGTACATTCAGCCACAATCAAGCTGCACAGATTAACAAATGCATAGTTTCTTTGCTTTGGGATGGAACTGTATCCACCCTGGTTATTTCACGTTCCTGGAAGCGCTGATTGTCAATTGCAGATTTTTTTTTAAAGATTGAATGACTTCATACAAGCAGATTTGTAAGTGAAAGCCTTTTAACACATGAACTTTATGGAGAGGGTGGGAGGCGGTTGGATGGGCTTGGGGGATAATGAAATGGGTCTTTGCTGAGAGAGGGTGGGACACTCCATGGGAGACTCCACCTCCTCCCACCAGCCCCTGTTGGTCTTAAACACCCAATTCCTGAGAGTGGAAGGGTTAGATCAGATAGGTTTCCCATGTGGGAGAATGTAGGATCTTGCAGATCTCAGGGGGCAAAGGAGCATCGTTACCTCCCAATGCGGCAGGGAAGAAGAGAGTTCTGATCGGGGAGAGAAAAACCATCCAAAACTCGTTGCCTCCCAAAATGTGCACGTGCACAGTCTTCCAAGGAAACTGGCTCTTTGTGAGTAGTTAGTGGATCTGAGACAATGAAGTGCCTAATACAGTTCATTGCTATAGATACAGTGGATGTTCTGGTGACCAAGCTAGGTTTGATGCCAATCAGGGGTCTTAACTAGCAGTGTGTTACTTCGAGTGGATTCCTAGTCCTGATCTTCAGCTCTCTCGTCTGTAAAATGGGACTGCCGATACTGGGGTAAAATTACAAAGGGGATTAAATGAGAACAGCTCCCAAACATGGTTCATCATCAACAATAACAATGCGTGGGTGGTTTGTTTACAAAAAACAAAACAAAACAAAAAACTTAGACTTTCAGACACCTGTGAATTCTAATTTAGTAGTTTTAGGGCTAAGGATTAGGGAATCTGTATTGTTTAAAGCAAACTTTGGAGATAATGCCAGACTTGGGAACCCCTGAGAAGTCCTTATGAAAGCCCGTGGTCTAGTTCTCACACGTTTTCTGTACTCAGTTGTTTGTATCTAGAAAACAGGACTTGGGGCCAGGCCGTACGTACATGTTCAGTGACTCGGTTTGACTGTCTTCATGAAATCTGCATTTGTGCCCTTTGTTGTGCCAGCCCTATAACTCAGCAAGCCAGCTGTGTACAGGCTAGTGCTACGAGATGTGGAAAGGCAGCTAGGAAGTGAGACCATGTGTCTGCACCCTGTTCCAGAGCTGTGGTGTGCGGCTTTCTGCTCCCTGGTCCTGGGAGGGAAAACCGCGGCTCAGCTGATAGTTTGTCTCTTCTAATCCCTCCTGCCCTAAACTCACATGGGCTAGAAACAACTCATTTCTAATTCTTGCTCCGTCCTTCAACCACCCACATTTCCCTTTTGCTTCCTATCAAGCAGGAAAAATGCTAACATACAGTGAAATTGTTCAAAGCTTAGGTTGATATGAAAAGCTGAAGCTGAGCGGAGGGCTTGGAAAATGAGCACCTTTGGCAGCCAACTTTCCTGTGTCTTCTCTGCACCCCCGTTTCTTCTTCGTCACACCTCCTCCTGACTGCCCCGGGGTCCACTGTGGCGGTCTGGTCAGACAGGGCAAGACCACATTCCCAGACCTCTTTACCTCTCACAGCCCTGCTCACATATTCCATGTCCAGCCCTCAGGATCCTGAGTCCTTGCTAAGTGAATTCGAAGTCAGATTAGTCCTCCTGTCTAAAACTAGTTTCCTCTTAGGCAATGATGCCGTTTTAATATCAGTCAACAGTGCTTATAATGCTACAAGTAATGTGTTGCTAGAAGTTTTGTGTACGTGATTGGAAGGAATTTTGCTCTCCTGCATACTTCCCCTACAAATGAAGCTGATGCTATCAAAGCATAGGGGAAGTTACCAATCTGGAAAATCCACAAACCAG